TACAACATAATCTGTAGGACGACACACTGTCTGTACGAACCTGTTACAACACAATCTGTAGGACGACACACTGTCTGTACGAACCTGTTACAACACAATCTGTAGGACGACACACCACGACGTTCCGCACTTATTGTCCTCTTCCCTCTACTCATGGACAGAAAACAAAACCACTCATAAAGCAAAGTAGACAATCTGATACACGTCTTTATAGATATAGAATCTTAAACGAATTATCTACATATACTACATAAAAATAGAGGATTGGGCAATATTCGGAAGTAAGTAGGAATTTTCATTCTGGTGACGTTATTTTACGAATCAATGGAAAGTCCTTAGTGTTTTAGGGGTGTATGATCGATGAAGCATAGTGCCCGTACCTTTGATATATAATCTGGTTGAAGCTAAGTGACATGTCCGCAAGAATCGAATTAAGGGAGACAGGTTGACTAAGTTGAAGAGATAGTCAACGTTGCAATAGGTTACAGAAAAGGATAAGTGATCCATTACTTCAATATTAGTCTTATCATGGACAAGAATGAATGAAAAAGTTAACAGATATGGCGCAGGGTTAGTAATTACGTTGTAGAACGTACTTGACATTATAGATCGAACCTAACTACCTAACTATGTCATACCTGACGTAATCAAAGTATACGTACAGAAGCATGATGTCCTGGAAGTCACAGTTGACTGTGTTACAGACGTTGCCGAGCTGGGAGAGATACTCTGACATCTTTAGCTCGCTAATATGGCGTCTTGTCCTGCTGAACACAAAAACACAAATATAATCAAACAAAACCGATATCATTGCAGCTATGATACAAACACCACAGAACAATGCTGATGTCATAACATTTTATAATACAAATATCACAAAACGAAACTGTGAAGATATAACTTAAATTCTACAGAACAAACCTTATTTCATAAGAGTAATAACATATATATTATTATCACAGCCTGTTCCGAAAAGAACAGCTACTCCAGAGCCTGATCAAAGAATAACAGCTACTCCACAGCCTGATCCAAGAAGAAAGCTACTCCACAGCCTGATCCAAGGAAATAGCTACTCCACAGTCTGTTCCAAGAGGATAGTTCTCCACAGCCTGATCCAAGAAGGAAGCTACTCCACAGCCTGATCCAAGAAGATAGCTACTCCACAGCCTGATCCAAGGAGATAGCTACTCCACAGTCTGTTCCAAGAAGATAGTTCTCCACAGCCTGATCCAAGAAGAACAGCTACTCCACAGTCTGTTCCAAGAGTAGGTTCTCTACAGCCTGGTCCAAGAGTAGGTTCTCTACAGCCTGGTCCAAGAAGATAGCTACTCCACAGTTTGTTCCAAGAGTAGGTTCTCTACAGTCTGGTCCAAGAAGATAGCTACTCCACAGTCTGTTCCAAGAGTAGGTTCTCTACAGCCTGGTCCAAGAAGATAGTTACTCCACAGCCTGATCCTAGGATTCTTCTCCACAGTCTATTCCAAGAATAGGTTCTCAACAGTCTGATCCAAAAATAGGTTCTCTACAGTCTGTTCCAAGAATAGGTTCTCTACAGCCTGGTCTAAGAAGATAGTTACTCCACAGCCTGATCCAAGAATTCTTCTCCACAGTCTGATCCAAAAATAGGTTCTCCACAGTCTGATCCAAGAATAGGTTCTCTATAGCCTGGTCAAAGAAGATAGTTACTCCATAGCCTGATCCAAGGATTCTTCTCCACAGCCTGATCCAAGGATACCTACTCTATAACCTGCTCTGAGGATTGGTTTTCTCCCCCCCCCCTTTTATTTTGTGACCATGTTGAACAAACAGAACCGATACACCTTTAATAACTTTCCCTGTTTAATTTTTAAACCAACTGATTATCAATTTTTAAAAATCAATATAACCGTTGAACTCATTTTTTTTCTATTTCAATACATTTCTCTGTTTATTTTTTTCTCATAATGTCTCCATCAGGTACTAGTCTTGGCACACATATCTCGGTAATACTAGCTTCGAAAAGCACCTGTCGTCTACCTGTTAGAGGTAGATATTATGTTTCCATTGATTTACAAAGAGTTTTATTATTTTCACGAAGCAAATTCTGAATCTTTTTGATAGCATATACAACTTTTTTTGTTCCATATCATATTTGATTGATTATTAATTTCTCTTTATTTATTTTACAACGGATGGAAGCACAAGGGGTGTTGATGTAGAAGAAAGCCGAAGTAACCGGAGAAAACCCGCGTGGTCGAACAGGTGACCCCATTACTTTACAAGTTCGATCACTGGACAGAACTCTGGATTTTTTTTGTGAAAAGCTGGCGAGTGCACTTAAATTAATTATTATGAATTTATTTAAAAAAATAAATATTGAGGACAACATTTTCTCTTACCCTGGACAGATGCATCCGCACTTTTACCGGTGTGAGATTTCCTTGTCTCACACTAGGGTTGAGACAAGCTCCACGTGCTCTTTGCACGTTCTCCACAATAAACCTGACGTCACTGATGTGACCCGGAAGAAGAACTACTTTTATGAGGTCACACACGTACACAAGTTCGTCTGCTAATCTTGTGTTTACATTTGACATCAAAGAAGACGGGATTGATTTTAAAATGTTTAAAATCGGTGATCTGGTAAATGTTGGATCAGAAGGAAAACAGGGTGTCATACAAAATACTTTTAAACCAATTGGAACTTATGTTATGTTTAAAGTACGTCTGTGTGCTACTGGTGAAGTTGTGAGTGCTAGCAAACACCAACTTGTGAAAGGTTTGGCAGACGATGAATTTGACTTTTCTTACCTGTTTAATGCAGACGTTCTTTGTATGTGTCAGACAAAAGGATGGTTCGCAATACCAACCAAGTTACCTAGAGGAATTCTGGGCTCTATCGAACGGTATTTGAAGCGACACAAATATGGAACAAGTCTAATAACCGGATACACATTTGCCGGTACGCGTGATGCTCTCAGGTGTAAACAAAAGGATTTAAAAAAACGGGGTTTAGGCAACAAACCAATGGCCGCGGATAGAATAAATGACAATGACATAGACTTATTGTATAAGTGTGGTCAATTGGGGACAGACTCTCCTCAAAGCTTGCTGAACACGTTATGGCTAAACAATACACTACATTTTGGAATGAGGTGAGGGGGAGAGGAGCAGAGGGCCGTGTGTTGGGGGGACGTGGAATTATGTTTCGATTACGAGCTGATGACGGATTTTTTTATCTTACAATAAAAGACAAACAAAAACAAGGACGGGAGTTGATATAACAAATATCAGGGACAGCAAACCAACGATGTACGCCACAACAGACAATCCAGAACGATGCCCGGTACAGGCATATAAAGTATTCTCCAACAAACGTCCGGCGAACTTTTCAAATAATGATCATCCTTTCTACCTAGCTACGGTAACAAATAAAACGAAACCAAGTGAAAATGAGCAATGGTTCTTGAGAGGACCTGTCGGTAGAAACAAATTAGCACACTTGCTCAAAAATATGGCACAAAATGCACACCTGTCCGGACTGGAGCACAAGCGTTTGACTAACACGATTGTACGTAAACACTTGTGTTAAAAGTTGTTCGAGACGGGAATTCTCGACACACAAGCAGTTCATATAACGGGACATAAGAACCCACAGTCACTTAACAACTATCGCTTATTGAGTAAAGTCCGAAAACAAAACATGTCAGCTATCTTGGCTAATAACAAGCCTGTTTCCGATGTTTCAAACTTTAGATGTGTTCTCGCAAGTTCATACTCCACGCGGCCGCCAATTTCAAGCACACTTACCTCCTCTGAGAATTGCTCCAATTTGACACAACAACACAACAGCGTACCCTTGTGTGATACAAATACATTAGCTTCCACGATTTTTCATGTATGCACAATAGAAGGTGGCACATTTAATATAAATATCCAAGAATCATCACAGGAGAAAATTCGAAACAAGCGCCGTGCACGTGTCATCCTGTCGGATAGTGAATGGACTCAAAATGAGAGACTGGGAATCACGTGACATGTGTGACATTGCAAAACTTTCTCATAAACTAATTTTTAATGCAAATATGTGTTTAACTTAAATTTAACATATCTTAATTAGAAATAAAAAAGCATAGTCGAATATACGAAAGTATTTATTTTATGGGATGTTTTATTGGTCAAATGTAACGGAACTATATTTTGCGTGATAAAAAAATATGATGCGTGAAGCGTCTGACGCATACATATAATATTAATACGCTATACACATGTTCTTGTTTACAAACTATATGGTTCGTCTACTTGGACAGAAACAACAGGGTAAGAGATAAATTAATCATTCACTCCATCGGGGATGAGATAGGGGGATCTCAACCCTCGGGGGGAAGATTCTTAAATTTCCAAACACTCGGCAGAGCCTCGTGTTTGGCAACTTAAGAATCTCTCCCCCCCCCCTTGGGTTGAGATCCCCCTATCTCACCCCAAGGGGGTGAAAGAAAAATTAATCTTTTCTTTCAAACTTGCAATTTACAATACGATAGATGAATAGAGTTTATGACATGATGATTTATTCACTGTCATAAGTGTTTACGATGAATGCGGAATGCACGGCCTAGCATAAGGGCCATGCGAAAGGCAACAACAAAGTTTAATTTAAATTTCAACATGGAAGATAAATTTATGATGACTCATGAATCATCCTGGCATGTAAGACAATCCTTTTGTGCCATTATTAAACGTTAAACCTCGAACGGGAGTAGGTAAATGACAATTGAAAACCAGTGAAATATTGTTTTGCATTCTCAAATTGATAGATACTGTTCGAGTGTATGACTTAGTTTTGTCCGAGTTGATAAAATGTAATCGAAACACTTCTAAGACAAAAACGTTTATGCCAACTTTCAAGGAAAGTAGGATTAACGATCAATTTTAATATCATGAAAGTCACAAATAACTTAGCTGATTATTAAATGAACAGTTTCCTTCTGTATGTAAGTGTTAGCTAATCATGTCTGCTGATAAAACAACTATAAAAAGGATTATTTTGTTGTCTGGTGCCGTTAATGATTTTACCAAAATACATCAGTGGTACTAAATACAAGAATTAAAAGACATTAAGTCGTTCAGTTATTTTTCAGTCTGTCCTTAAACAATTGCTTTGGTAGCTACTGACAGAAATAGCCGAGGTCCGTATTAACAGCGGTGATTGGTTACAAAGCCACATCTAGATCTTTTGTGGATCGTTCAATGGAAACTTATCAGAGCAAGAAATATTGACTTAGCAACTGAGAAAGGTTTTGTGTTGTGGTATTGTTGTATTTGATGTTTAATGGTCATTTAACGTAACATTCTCCGGATAAAACATACTATATATATGTGAACTAAGAATGCATTTCCATTTCAATAATACGTTCGTAAAAGTAGCGACAAAACCAAACACTTTGACGTCATTGTGTTAATTTCTTTGAATCAAAAGTTATCCTCTTTCCTGACTATTACTGTGTACTATAATTACAAAACAACATGCGAACTGTCGACTCTGTTAAAATACACTGATTTATAAAATCTGTTAAAATACACTGATTTATAAAATCTGTTAAAATACACTGATTTATAAAATCTGTTAAAAGACACTGATTTATAAAATCAAATAAAATACACTGATTATAAAATCAGATAAAGTACACTGATTTATAAAATCTATTTTATATGGGTGTTTTGAAGTTATCCGTTTTGAATATCAATTATCTGTGAAAACTTTTAATAAACGCACGCAAATGTTACA